TTTTTTTTTTTTTTTTGCAAGGCAATTGGGCTTAAGTGACTTGCCCAGGGTCACACAGCTAGTAAGTGTCAAGTGTCTGGTCTGAGACCAGATTTGAACTCAGATCCTCCTGACCCCAGGGCCGGTGCTCTATCCACTTCGCCATCTAGCTGCCCCACTGGAGTATTTTTGATGAGAGTGACTTTGGTCAGGTCTGTGCTTAAGGAATACCACTTTGTATTTTTTCTTTTTTTTTTTAATCTTATTTTGTATTGGTATTTTTTGTTTTCATATCACCTTCATTTCTGAATTTAGTTATACTCTCTTCCTACCTAGCTATTTTTTTATCTTTGTAACCAAAGAGGAGACATCTACTAAGTTTGATAGCATATATATTGATGAGAGATATTACTGGCAGCTGTCTGGGGGATGGTTGGGGTTGGGGTAGGGTGCAGAGACTGGAGGTAGGGAGGCCAATTAGGAAGCTATTGCTGCTGTCTAGGTGAGGGGTGATAACCTTTCTTTGTGACAACTCAACTTTGAGTGGAGAAAAGGGGCCAGAAGGCTAGACAGAGATGTGGAGATAGAAATAAGACTTGGCTATTGATTGGATAAGAGAAGAAAAGGCAAAGTCTAGGGGGACTCCAATTTTGCAGATCTGGGGCCTAGAAAGCTGGTTGTAGAGGCAGTGTAAACTTGGGACCTGAGAAGCCTCAATCTTATTCCCAGATCTGCCATTTATACACAGGTGGCTCCTAAGTCTTCTCACTCCTCTGAACCTCAGTTTCCGCATGTAGGAAGTGAGGTCCCCAATACTCAAAGGGTTGTTGTGAGGAAAACAACTTTGTAACCCTTAAAGCCTTATAGAAACAAGGTATTGGATGACATTGTCAGGCACTAAACACTTGGGAGCTGTTATGAGCCTTGGCTGGTGGTGGTGAAGGGTTTATGGAGGAAGTGGGCCTTGAGCTAGGCCTCAAGACACTGGTAGACGTGAAAATGATAATAACTCAAAGGTTGGGACCTTTCTGCTTTATTTTTCATTTTTTAAGATTTTGCATTTTCAAACCCATTTTGTCATGTGATCTTCAAAACAGGTGCAAAGAAGGAAAGTGATTTATTTGTTCAAAGCCAAGCATACAGTTAGTAGAAATCTTCCTTCAATATTCTCATGAATGCCCCATACTGGCTCATCTTGGATAGGTGGTGGAGGAAAGAGTGTGTGTGTGTGTGTGTGTGTGTGTGTGTGTGTGTGTGTGTAGGTTGGAGAGCACTGGGGTGTGGAGAACAGCATGAAACCTGGTCACTGAAGCACATCCAGGCCACCATAGAGGGGAAAAAAGGCTTTGGAGATGCCGTTAATCCTGACTGCCTTGGAGGAACAGTTCTTCATCTGTCTTGTTTTGAGTATGATTTATTATAGAAGGCACTTGATTACATAGTAACGGCATTGCAATTTAAGTTTTAGACATATTAGTGGTTTTTTTTTTCCTTTTGTGATTCATGACCAATATCTCTATTTGGATTCTACCTGTTCCTGTGCACATATTCATCCCAGAAAACAACACAAGCCAATCAATCAAGCATTTTATATTAGACCAACAAAGGATTTCCCCGGTTTCAGGCAAATTAAACATTTCACAGGGAATTTTTTTATTTTACAGCTTGAGAATCTGGTCTACTAGGATCTGACTGAGATTTCAAGCAGTGGCTGTACACACTCTCCCTAACACTGTGCAGCAAAGAAAGACCAAAACTTAATGAGTTTGCAGGAGCTTACAAACTCTCAGTGGAAAGTAAATGTTCTTGCCTTCCAGGAAGCTAGTGGTTTGCAAAGTTAAATTTAAATCCGTTCCCAGGTCATCCTCTCAACCACCCCCGTCACCATTACAAGCCTTCAAGCTTCATTGCACATGGTCTTTGGCTGCTCTAGGCTCAAAGCTTGTCTTGATCTCTGACCACTCGTCAAATTCAAGGCATCAGTCAATGATTCTTCAGCACCAGGTCTTTGCTAATTCAAGGAAACCATCAGAGAGAACTTGTTCATCTGCTTGGGTTCAGGTTTCACTTGCTAAATGGGGAGGTGTCCATTCAGTCAGCAAGAATCACAGGGCTGCAGAGGTGGAGGGAGAGGAGACTTGGAACGATCGCTTTATTTCTAGCCACAGTCGTGTGACAGAGCTCGGGGACGGATAGAACCTGACATCAGCTCTGCGACCTTGGACAAGCCAGTCAAGCCGCCTTTCCGGGCCTCAGTTTCCCCTTCTGTAAAATGAGGGAGTAGGACTGGACGGTTTCTAAGGTCCCTTCCAGCCCTAGAACCAGGATTCTCTGAGGAAAGGAGCTAATTGTTCTTTTACACAGGACCCTAGGTCTAAGGCTGGAAGGGACCTCAGAGGTCATCCTTGGTCCAACCTCATGTTACAGATGGGGAAACTGAGGCACAGGGAGAGGAAGTGACTTAGGATCACAGTTCTGGAGCTGGGAGGAGCCTCAGAGGTTATGGGCCCCAGGGCTCTCATTTTACGGATAGGGAAACTGAGGCGAGGTGATGGAGCCGATCCCGCAGCCCAGGCTCTAGCCCCTGCGGGCCCGCGCCCTCGCCCCGTGCCGGAGCCCCCAGGTGTTCTCTCCGTGGGCCTCAGTTTCCTCATCTGTGAGAGGGAGAGACAACGCCTTACGGGCTGCCACCCTCGCTGGTCCGAAGCTTCTCGGGCTCCCTCGGAGCAGGGTCCCAGGCTGGGCACAGCGAAGCGAGGCCCCGGCTGCAGTAGCCAGGCAAAGGAACCAGGAGAGGCAGGGAGACAGCGCGCGCGCGCTAGCACATACGTGCCTGCGTGCGCGCGACTCCAGAGCGCCCCGCCCCGCCCCCTTCCCCCCATCCCGGAAAGACGTCGCTCCGCCCCTCGCGGCTGACGCTTGACAGGAGGCCGGTCACGTGGCAGCCGCAAAGCGACGCTTTGCGACCCCAATGACAGGCAAAATGTGCGACAGCGCCTGGGCCGGCCAACCAGGGCAGGAGGCGGCGGCGGCGGCGGCGGCGGCGGCGGCGGCCGAGGAGGCTGAGGCAGG